AAACACCAAAAAATAATTATACAAACCTACCTTATAATACATATATGTGTGCATCAGTACACTTTAAGAGGGTTTTAAAAATATTTCTTTCAACAAACACTAATGTCTTATTCATTTTATAAGTATTTTTTCATAATAGCTTCCTTTGTCCTTTTCTGACTAAAAGCAAAATTACAAACCACACTTAGTTTTTCTATAAGCCATATTCAAGAGGGAAAGTATAGTATTTGGATCCATATGGTAATTATTAAAGGGATAGAAAAAATCCCATCTCCTGTCTCTCATATACCTTTCAGTGACTTAATTCAGAGTCTCCTGGAACTCAATGATTCACTTCTTCCTTACAAGGTACAGTTCACCAAATTTCCCTTCTAAAATTGGCAGTATTATTAAAATCATGCCCAGGTCTCTTAATAGTTGTAATAATTTTTCATTTTAAAAAATTTTACCCTCTTTGGTCTTAAAACAGCCATATGCAAATGAGCCAAGAGAACATAATGTCCCACATATTTAAATTTTCAATACCACCTCAGCCTCTGGTGGAGTTGGTTCACAGTTTGGCTCAGTTCCTACACAGCATTGGTCCCATAAAGTTCGTGTTCAAAGGTATCGTCTCTGCCAGAAGAGTCCTTTTCTGGGCTCTGATGCTAGGCTGACTATGAAACCTGGATTAGGCTCTGAATCCCAAGTTCCCATGGCTTTCCCAAGCTTTCAAAACCTCAAGGTTGGAGACTCCAGTCTCATCTGAAAAGGAAAAGAACAGAGTCCAAGGACTGAGGCGTATTTCTTAGGGCCATATAACTTCAGTAGGGAGAAGACCCCATGGACTCTCTCCTCTTACAGGGTAGTCCCCCATGGATCACAATGAGCAAAAGAATCAGCAAAGTTCACAAGACCAAATGAAGCAAAAGAGGAAGGTACTGAAAATGACAGGTTTTTTTTGTTTTAAATAACTATGGTCAATCAAAGAGCCTCTTCTTTAACAGGTGGCCAACCAACTGGAGCTAGTTAAAGAATATTTACATATGATACAGTCTCTCCAAAGCTCTTCCATTCCATATCTTCACTATTCTCCCAGAAACAAAGTCCTTAGCTTCTGCATGTGGAAAGGTTGTATCAGCTAAGCAAGCTCATGGGGACTGCACATGTAACAGTCCCCAGTTATATATGATTAAAATTCTACAGGGAAAGTCAACTGCCAAAGGATGAATAACTCAAGAATGAAATTCTAGAGACTCAACTCCAATTGGGAGGGTGGGGTGGGAAGTGTGGGAGAAAAATCTCCTCTTACATTTTAGGCAAATCTACAAGAGATGCATTTTTTAAAAATTTATGCACAAGTGTTCTGCTCAAAGAGAGCTTCTTAGTTGGCAGAGTTTCTCCTTCTGAATTAGAAAAACTTCCTACCCATGGAATTTTTGGCTTACTCTTTATAGCAATTATAAAGCAAAAGTCAATATTCCACCAAAAAAAGGAGAATTAAGCAAAACATAAATACAGTTTTAAGTTTATGGTTTCTGATGTGCCAGAAACAATTGTAGTGCTAATTCCAACACACCCTTGGAGAAGGATCTGTGTTGCTAGAGAATTAAGGCTAAGTGGCACAGTGCCTGGAGTCAGGAGGACTCATGTTCAAATCCAGCCTCAGATACTTGCTAGCTGTCTGACTCTGGGCAAATCGCTTAAACCTGTTTGCCTCCATTTCCTCATCTATAAAATGAGCTGTAAAAGGAAATGGCAAATCACTTTAGTATCTTTGCCAAGAAAACCCCAAATGGGATCACAAAGAATAGGACACAACTGAACCAATGAACAATGACAACTTCTTGAACAAGCTTCCCAATTTCTGTTGTTGTTTCATCCATTAGATGGTAAACTCCTTGAGAGCAGGGACTGTCTATTGCCTCTTTTTGTATACTTAAGACTTAGCACAGTGCCTGGCACATTGATAAATATTTATTCACTGAATGACAATAATTCTCATTTTGTTAGGTCCTTAATAAACTAAAGGACACATCCTCTCTCAATTTGGTTAATAAGACATTTTCACTTTTACTTTGGTCTACAATAAGTAAGACATTCCCTCTGTTGGTATAATAAACTTTATCTATTGGTTGACTTTTCTTTTCTGTTTTCTCAGTGCGTTCCCTCCTCTGAAATTAAGACTTCTACTCAGGGGAGACTGGGTGGGTTTTTAATTCAAGTAGGCAGACTGGGTATACTGTTGATTCTTTTTTTTTTTTTGGTTAGGCAATTAGGATTAAGTGACTTGTCCGGGGTCACACAGCTAGTTAATGTCAAGTGTTTTGGTCTGAGGCTGGATTTGAACTCAGGTCTTCCTGACTTCAGGGCCGGTGCTCTATTCATTCCACCACCTAGCTGCCCTTATACTGTTGATTCTTAATTGTTTAATATACCTGAAGTCTTATTCCACTAAGAGCCTCAAAAGTCTGAAAAGAGCCATATGGAATTCCATAGCAAATTTCAATTTTTAAAGCCACATATATAAGGACAGATCATAGTATGAATAAATAAATATGCAGGGACAGCTAGGTGGTGCAGTGGATAGAGCTCCAGCCTTGGGGTAAGAAGGACCTGAGTTCAAATCCAGCCTCAGACACTTGACACTTATTATCTGTGTGACCCTGGGCAAGTCACTTAACCCCACTGCCTGGTAATAAATAAATAAATAAATAAATAAATAAATAAACAAACATGCCTTGATCCTATAAGAACAGTGTCAGAAGTGATAAAGCTCAAAATTAGCTGAGACTGGGGAGAGCAGGAGGGGAAAGTGCAATCCTCCCCTTTTTAACCATATAGGGGAGGAAAAAGATCAAAAAAATGGTGTTGGGAGGAAAGCAAAATCAAAAGCTTTCAACTCCTATTTTGAGCTTCTTGAGAGCAAAAACTGTCTTCTGCCTTTCTTTGCATCCCCAGTGCTTAGCATAGTGCCTGGCACTTAGTAGGGATTTAATAAATGTTTATGACAGACTGACTGACACGTGCAGAGTACCTGTGATGTTACCTCCCACATAAGGAGGCTGGGGAGCTAATTCCAAAAGAGCAATAATGATGTATAATGGAAGTACCTTTGGAGAGACTTTAGAACATGTTTGACATTCTGCAAAGAATTCTAGTCTGATAACCACTTGACTCCCTATATAATCAGAACTGAGGGGGTCTTCAAAAGATACTAGTGGACTGCAATCTCAGCAATTTTTCTCAGCTTCTCTGTCTTAAAAGATTTCTGCTTGGTTTGACTCTTCAGCTGATACCATCGAGAGAGAGAGGGAGAGACAATGATGGAAGGTCTTTTGCCCTCTACCTACAAAGCTGCCAGATAGCCCCATTAAAATGGGCCTCAGATTTAGATTCTTTACCCTTTTTCTCCCCTCTCCTTTCTCTCTCCTCTCCTTTCCTCTCTCCCCTTTCCTCCCTTTCATTCCCTCCCCTCTCCCTCTCCACTCCTATCCCCATCCTTCCCTTCATCCTTTCTCCTTCCACCCTTCTCCAGCCTAGACAATGCTATGGTGGAAATGGCCGAGGAGGCCACAGAGCCCACCGAGGCAGACATCAAAGGACTGTGACAGGACACGTTCTCCAAAATGGCCACGTATCTAACAGGCAAGCTGACAGCCACCAGTGGGGACTATAAACTTCGGGAAAATATGAACAAACTAACTAACCTGAAGTATCTAGAAATGAAAGATATTGCAGTAAACTTAAGTAGAAACCTAAAGGACTTAAACTACAAATATGCAGCACTTCAGCCTCATCTGGATCAGATCATTTTAACTGAGGTGCAAGTAGCAGCCCTTGAGCAGGCAGCTTACAAGTTGGATGCATATTCAAAGAAACTAGAAGCAAAGTACATGAAGTTAGAAAGGTGATGAAAGAATTCATTAGCACAAAGACTTTAACTACAAGAATGTTTCATAAGAGTTGAAAAGCATAGGATGGAATTTATCAAACTTCTGTGCTTCAATTCCATAAAAGGAAGTGGTGCTGCTGATCCAAGGAGAATCCCAGCCCCCACCTTCAGTTGGATGTGTAACTTTGGCCACTCCTTGATGTTTTCGTAAATTTGTACCCCCTGAAACATCATTTTATCACGTACTTTAATTGTGTGCCCTGGACCAAGACTCAGAAATCAGATCAACCCCACCTAGAGCAGATACAGAGGAGAGGCTCTGGTATTCCGGTCTCCTCCATCCTCTCTTTCCCCTAGGGGTCCATCTTAGACTCTTTATTCTGAATGTGGCCCCACCCACTTCATAACCTGTTTTTGAACTGAAATAATAAATGCTAATTTTTGACCCTTAAAAAAATTGGGCCTCAGTGTTTTGCCTGCCTCCACATTTGTTCTTTCACTTTAGGTGAAGGGATTGGAGAGTGTGAAGAATATGATGTGAGTTTCAAAAAGTCAGGAGAATGAGCCTTCTAGTTTTGCAGTAAGCCCACCATGACTTACCTAAGAAGCTACCTTAACGACCAAGCAAAGTGGCAGCTGAGACAAAGATTCACCAGGAGTCGTCAGTTCACATTTGGAACTGAATTTGATGGGACAATGCTATAGGAAAACTGCTAAGTCTTAGCCCACTTTTCCCAGAGACAGAGGTGATATAAGGAACAGTGTGCTGCAGAGATGTTGGGGAAAAATGTTTATACTTCTGTTATTGCTACATCTTCAATGTAAATATTACTTTGTAATAGTTAATTGATGTTAGGTGTTGAAATGTAACTGATGTATATAAGTTAAGTGTATACAACTGGTAGGAGTTTGGGTTAATAGCAGTAGAGAAAAGAAACCCCAACACCTGAGGTACCCCAATATCTGATTCTGAAATAGTGAACCCAGAGTGTACTTGTTTCATCTGGTTTAATGGAAACTTTGTTTTTTACATTATTTTGCTCCTTACTTTGAAAACAATGGTTTTACAAAATGGTTTCACATTGCAGACTTTGAAAAATTCATTTCATGTGTTTTCATATTTCAGATCCTAAAGACATAAAGTGTTCTTCCACACCACTAATTGTGAGTACAATTGTTTCACTTCTTTCTTTCTTTCCTTGAATTAGAGTATCTGGTTTCTAGTAACTTCAAGTAATCAAAAAATCTATTCCCATATTCAGAGAACTATTATGTATATTTAAAGAATTATAAGGTATGGCCCTTACCCTAAAGGTATTTTTAGTCTAGTTTAAAATACTTCAGTCCTTAAAGAAATCTATAATCTCATTATTTTGAGTGCTCTCTTCACACTTTCTTGGCCAGTTTTGTAATCGTGTTCATATAGTTCCTGGGTTTGTTTTGGTAGGTAGACTCCTAAATATTTTATAATGTCTAGAGTAACTTTAAATGGAATTTTTCTTTCTATCTCTTGCTGTTGGGCTTTGTTGGTAATATAGAGAAATACTGATGGGTTTATTTTATAGCCTGCAAATTTGCTAAAGTTGTTTATTATTTCAAGTAGTTTTTTACTTGGTTCTCTAGGATTCTCTCAATATATCATCATGTCATCTGCAAAGAGTGATAGCTTTGTTTTTTCTTTGCTTATTATAATACCTTCAATTTCTTTTTCTTGTCTTATTGCTAAAGCTAACGTTTCCAGTACGATATTGAACAACAATGGTGATAACGAACATCCTTGTTTCACTCCCAATCTTATTGGAAATGTTTCTAGCTTATCCCCATTACATATGATGCTTGCTGAAGGTTTTAGGTAGATGCTAGTTATTATTATAAGAAAGATTCCATTTATCCCTATGCTTTCTAGTATTTTTAATAGGAATGGGTGTTGTATTTTGTCAAAAGCTTTTTCTGCATCTATTGAGATGATCATGTGACCTGCACAATTCTTAACCAGGTTCTCATCCAATTCCTTCCAAGAGGATCAATTCAAAATGTTGATGCCTTCCTCTTTAAACATTCTCTCAGTAGGATTGCAGTACTTGGACAACCATTTGTATTGACACATGATAACCTTACAACCTTTATCAGTCACTTATTTCTTCAATCTTTTATGACACTTTGTGAAAGCCATTTTTGAGATGAATCTAATAATCATAATCATGAAATCTAACATGGACAAATAATATATCTAGTATAGAGAAAGTCTTCTATGGGACATATAAAAAAATGGTGTAGCCAAATCTGAAAAAGATATGACTGTTTTAGTAAACTAAAAACTCAAAATGTTAAAAGTACAACATGGCAACCAAAAGGGCTAATGTACATTTATTATGCTTTGAGAGGTACAGTGTCGACTATGAAGGAAGTGGTATCCCCACTGTACTCTTGCCTTTGACAGAATATAATGTGCTATTGGGTTCAGTTGTGGATGCCACATTTTGGAGTGTACAGAAGAGAGGACAGCCAGGATGATGTATGACCTCAAGATCATGTCATAAAAACGTCAGTGGAAATGACTGAATATGTTTACCCTAGGAAAGAGAAGGCTTAAAAGTGATTTGATACCTGTCTTCAAATATATGAAGAGCTGTTATTTGAACGAGGTTTAGACTTATTCCACTTGGCTCTAGAGGACAGATCTAGAAGCCATAAGAAAAAATTGCAGAGAGGTTTGCTGAAAGAAATAGCAACAATTTAACTATACAAAAGTGAAATGTTTTGGATGACCACTTTGGGAGAATCTATTTTAGTAATGAAAGGGGATGGATTTGTAGAGTTGATTCTTAGTCTGGTACTGGTTAGCCTAGATGGACTCTAAGGTCCTTTCCATCTTTGAGATTTTGGGAAATAGGTACCATAGTCAAGAGATTGTTAGAAAATATAGTCTTATTCTGGTATCACTTAAGTTGGGCCTTCACTATCATAGGGCAATCTTTTTGCAGCTCTCTATTCACTATCCCATTCACCACAGCAACCATTCTAACATTTTCATCCCTCAGCAAGTCTCCTTTAGCACCCCTCCTCCACCTTCTCAGCAGAGAACACTGCCTCATTTAATTGTTAAATTAAATACTAAATGAATCAGCACCAAATGTCATGGCATCCAAACATTCGGAGCAAAAGTCCATGAGTTAAATGGAGAAATAGACACCTCCCCAGTTCTTTCCATCACTCCAAAACTGGCTACTCCCTTTTCCCTTCCCCTTATTGACCCCGTAATTAACCAGTCCATCTCTACACTGTCCTCTTGAGTCCTTTGGTCTGCCATGCCTCAGCGTTGAGGTTTGCCTTTACTTCTTCTTCTGCCTTTACTCCTACTGATATGTTGCTGAATGAACATGGAGAAAATAACAAAACTCTGCTGCCTGGATCTGCTACAAATTTATGTTACATAACTTCAACTGGGCCCTCATTGCTGCAATGCAATTCTTTTACATTTCCCTTATTACTACTCAGCTGAAATTGCTCTCTCCAAATTTACCAATGATCTCTTAACAGGCACATCTAATGGTTTATTCTCAATCCTCATCCTTCTTGACTGACCTTTGCCACCTTTGCTACTATTTGACCACCCTCTCCTCTTGGATACTCTGTTCTCTTAATTTGGTCTGTGTGTGTGTGTGTGTGTGTGTGTCTGTGCGTCTGTGTCTGTGTCTGTGTCTGTGAGAGAGAGAGAGAGAGAAAGACAAACGTATAGATACTGCTCTCTCTCCTACTTCTCCAACCTTCTTATCTCCTCAGTCTCTTTTGCTGAATCTTCATCCAATCATGGCCGCTAACTGGTTGTTGCACCAGGGCTCAATCCTAAGCCTTTTTCATTTCTCCTCCTATATTGTCGATCTTGGTGATCTCATCAGATTCATTCCAAATTCAACTATCTTCTCTACACAGATGATTCTGAGATATATTTATCCAATCTTATGCTCTCTTCACACTTTCAGTCCTACATTAATAACTGCCTTTTGGACATCTTGAATTGGATATCCCATAGATAACAAATTAATATCCAAAACTGAACTCGGTATCTTTTCCCAAATCCTCCCCTCTAACTTCCCTATTATTATTGAGGGTATCACTATCCTCCCAGTCACCTTGGCTTACAACCTAGGTGTCACATTTGACTCATCACTCCTTCTTACCCCACAAAATTCAACCTGCCATCAAGTCCCATCCTTTCTTCTTTTGCAACATCTGTCATGTATGTTCCCATCTCTCCACTCACTTATCTCTCTATTCTGGTTCAGGCCTTCTTCACTTTATACTTGGACTATTGCAATAGCCTTCTAGTTCATCTCTCTACCTCATCTTTCCCCACTCTATTCTATACTGCACTCAGCTGCCAAAGTGATCATCTTTTTTTTTTTTTTAAATTTTTAGGCAATTGGGGTTAAGTGACTGGCCCAGGCTCACACAGCTAGTAACTGTCAAGTGTTTGGTCTGAGGCCAGATTTGAACTCAGGTCCTCCTGACTTCAGGGTCATTGCTGTATCCACTGTACCACCTAGCTACCCCCCAAAGTGATCATCTTTTAAGATCTCTCATTTCTGCACATATCTCTCCATCTCACCCTACTACACAACAGTGGCTCCCCATTACCTCCAGAATCAAATATAAAATCTTTTTTGGCCTTAAAAGCCTTTTATAATCTGCTCACTTGCTACCTTCCCAGTCTTACATTTTGCTTCCCCTCAATGTACTCTAAAATCCAGCAACAAAAGCCTTCTTGCTGTTCCTTGATAATGACCTTCCATCTCCTAATTCTGTCTTTTTACTGACTGTGCCTGCAATGTACTGCAACCTTCTCATCTTACCCCCCCAGATTCTCTGACTTCAAAACTCAGTTCAAATCCCACCTTTGGGAGGAGGCCTTTGCCTTCCCTCTGAGATTACCTCCCATTTACATTATATCTATCTTGTATGTGCATAGCTGTTTGCATGTTGTCTCCCCCATTAGAGTATGGGCTCCTCAAAAGCAAAAGACCAGGTTTTTGACTTTCTCTATAACTCAGCATAGTGTCTCATACATGGTAGATGCTTAATACAGGCTTACAGGAAAGTATGGTGTGCTTTAAAAAGATCACGTCATTGCCCTTTTTTATCTTCTATCGTGGCAATATAGTATTGTAGGTGTCTCAATCCATGTTTTCCCTTTTTTTTTTTGGTCACTGTTTAGATGGTCATCTGCCTATTTCATCTACACTACACCTAATTTGTTATGTAGCTTTGTTATCTCTGTGGGTCTGTTTTTTCATATGTAAAATAAAGGGGCTAGATTTGCTAAACTCTAATCTCTCTTCCAACTTCAAATCTTCACTTCTGTGTCTCATTGGTATATCTGATAGAACCGTGTGTGAGTGAACTTGTACTATTTTTACACGGAGGCCAATTCTCAGTGCCTCAAGGCCAGTCTCTCCCACTCATTTTCTATCCTATCCAATAAGAAATTTGAAAAGTCATCAGAAAACAATAAAAAGAAAGTACAGATGACATATTGAGAATATATCCCTTGGGAGAATGGCTTATATTCAGACCCTTTTGGAAGGGGAATTTTGTAATTTGTTTGTTATTTTATGTATTTCCGAGCATTTGGTATAAAAATGTCTTCTCATATTCTAAAAAGACAATATTAATCTAAACTACACTAAATGTCTACTCTATTGATTAGATAGTACCTTATAGCTAACACCACAGGGAAAGCCAAACTTCCAGAAGAGAACTTAGTATAGTGAAAAGAGCACTCGACTGTATTAGTAGAATTATGTTCTACTCCCAGCCAAGCCACTACCTTCTGGACCAAGCCACTTCAAGCAAGCAAGCCATAACAATTTGTCAAACATTTACTGTGTGTCAGACGCGGCACTGGGAATATAAGGACAAAAGTAAGACAATCTCTAGTACTTAAGGTATTTACATTCCGATGAGGAGACAGTATGTTTATACATAAATATTTAGAAAATGAATACAAAGTAGTTTGGCAAGAGAATGTGCCAGTTAGTGGAATGATGAGAATAGGCTTCATTTAGAAGATGACACTTGGGCTTAGTCTTGAAAGTAACCAGAAAGAGACTCCAAGAGGCAGAGGTAAAAAGGAAATTCATTGCAATCATGAGGGACACTTGGTA